AAACAGGAAACTTTTAGTTAGCAATTTGCAGACATAACTTTAAGAATAATGCCGATTTCTTTAAAAATTTTGTCAAAGATTCTATATTTAATGATTTCTCGGCTACATTCGATCCATAACTTTAAATTTAAGTATCACTATCACTGCTAAATTGAGATTAAATACTATTTACTCTATGAAAGTAAATTTACCTCTATATAAATTTACCAGATAGATTTATCTGAAAGCGGAATAAAAAATGCATCAAAGGAAATTTGGTCTTAAATAAATGCGCTTGTTAATTGCGCAAAAAATGTCTTTTAGCGGTCACTTATTTACATCAATAAATGAAGCGCCATTGCAAATTAATAAAATTCATAAATGAGAGAGATTTGGAATAAGTCCCTAGTTGGATTGAAAGAAATTTTAATTTCCTTTAGATTTAGAGAAGCAGTCTTGTTTACTTAATTACTACAACTATATTTTATAGGTAAAAACGAGAAAATATAAGTTAACAAAACTTATAGAAAGATTTATTAATTTATAACTATAAAATTTATGTTTTATGGAAGTTGTCAAAATTTTTTTATCGCTTATATATATATTTCACAAAAACTTTTATGAAAATTACTGAAAGTCATTTGTTTGGCTAAGAATCCCTACTCATCTATTTCCTCATTATAATCTATATTTTTACTTTAAGTTTCTCATATTAAAAAAAAAATTTGCTTCTTAGTACCGACGGAGTATATTTCGCGAATAAAATAAAGTTTTATATGAACTGAGATTACGACTTATTTTAATTTTATCTTTACTTGGATGCCTCAGAAATCTTTAGTCTTCCTCATCAATAATGAATTATATGCTTATTTTTCATCACTATAACATTTAGAAAATATTATTTCTTGGCTAAAAGAAGAGGTGAGATTAACAATAAAATGGCTCTTTTATGTTTATAAGTAGGTTTTAAAGTCTACCAGTATATCATATATCTGAGATGCATTCACTATATTTTTAAGGGATAAAGGTGTTGTGGTTGTATTTTTCCACTAACACATGAATAAGTTTGATGTTTTCATTTAAATTGATATAGCCTTGCTTGCCAAGAGGTATTCAAATAATGCAGAAGTGCCCTGTAGTTTCGATTTCGCCCTCAAAGAGGACTCAAACTCGGCTTGTAGTAGTGCAGCGTATACTATTAATGTGTTTACCACTACGCTACACCACAATGCATGCCATTGGGTCACAGGAAAAATGCAAACTTCAAAGAAGGTCAGTCCTTCCTTATATCACATTCAGTGATACAAATGCTGATTAAGTAAAGTTGCATCTGCCATAAAAATTGGTAACATTACTTATTGTTTGTTTATAAGTTTGTTTTTAATTCTACCGGTTTATCATATATATGTGATGCATTCATCTTACCTCTTAAGTAAGTGTTAATCATTATTATGCTCCTGTAACTTGAACCACAGATATGGATTATGTAGTTATGCTAATATTAATATTAATATTGTGCTAATAAATAAAACTTACGTCTTAGTAAAATTGAGCAAATAGACTGCCATCCAGACGGTGCCTAACATCAGAAGCAGATAAAGCACCGCTACGTCGCGATGGCAATTGGTCGTAACTAAACCTTCCACAGCTTCCGCTGAGTCAACTCCAACCAGAGGTCCTAACGTAACGGCCGTCTTGCCTGCTGTCGTGCCTGCTAGAACAGCTACTGTAGCCGTGGCTGTTGGCGCAGTTGACAACGCTAATTCTTGAGTGATCAGGAGGTTGGAATTTGATGAAGACCACGTATTATTGATGACTGGCTCGTATATTTTGTGGGGAAATGGGAGAGAGGACAGATTACTGACTCTTTCATTAGACCATTTTACGGCCTTTAGGCTCTTTATATCCTCAGCTCCTCTGGTGCTCACCATATCTGATTGCGGTTTGGTGCTAAGACCATTTACAACTCCATTGGCATTAGTTACATTTCTTGGATAATCCGAAGCAACTACAGCTGCTCGGAGCTGAGCTGCCACTGCTGCCTTTACAAGCTCTTCATGTTTTCTAAAATTAGAGGGCAAAGTTTTATTTAACTCGAAAACACTGAGGGGCGCCATTCTATCTGCATCGATTCCCGAGTTTCTAGATTGCCTTAAAACATGAGAAGCCATTGAATCAACAAATGGAATTCCTCTGTTGTCTTTGATTCCAACTCCTGTTTTTGTACCTCTCTGATATTGCCCTTGTTTTGAGTCTGCTGATTCCAGAGATCTTTGTAAATCGGATTGAACCAACAACTGTATATGCTCAGACAATAAGGGGGGATTAGGAGTGATATTGAAAAGCTGTTGAACATTAGATTTCATTGATGTAGTTGGTGATGTGTACGTTGCTTTTGTAGTGATGGAGGGGAAGATGCCGTCATCAATTTTAGCAGAATCTAGGAATCCTTGATAGAAACTTGACCCATTGGTAGATAAAGCATTTGTAGTGTGATCCAGCATGGTTGTAGAGTTTGTTGTTGAATTAGCTTGACAAAAGTAATTTGTCTGGAACTCTGAAATAGCATGCATTTTGTAAAAATTAAACAAAATATGACCATTGCATAACAAACACTAAACATTAAAGAAGACTCATTTCACCAAAAACCTGAATGCTTATAGTTTCAAACAATAGGATAAGACGTTAAATAGATTTGATTTAAATTATGTGCATTACACTAATACATGATAATAGTTAATCTGAGATATGCACTAAATATTACTATATAATTACATTTGTTATTGTATATATTAATAGAGAACTTGGTCATTCAGAAGAATACATTTTTCTTTGTATCTCTATAATGATAATCTTGTTCAGAAATCTATTGAATTTAACATAGATCGCGATGAATAAAATGGATATTAACGCTGTTGAATATGATAAGTTATAGTAAGCAATGAATGATTATTAATCGAAAGTATGACCATTAAGATGGTGTGGCCTTTTGTATAATCGCGGTCTCCTGTCATTCAATATTAGTTGTTTGAACTTCTTTTCACACCTAGTCTATAGACTATAGTATGCATGATAATTTCAAGAGTCGGACTGTGGACTTGGTACATTCCAAGATTTTCCCGGTATTGTCAGTGAGCGTTACCATTCTTCGCACCACACAACAACTCGTCAAATATACAAGTGAAGCCGGTCCTTTAGACAATTGTGTGCTAAACAATTGTGGTATCTTTCCTATCATGAGTTATTCACCTACCCTATATCATCGTATCACCCCTTCGTAATCACAATTTATTAATTCCTTAATTAAATGTGGTATGATGAGTAGATTTCATGAGAGCTTTTCACACCCCACGCTGGCTATCTCGCCACACCTCCATATCATTGGGCCGGGAACGTTGATATGAGTCTGCCATATCACTCCACAATAATCTCCAATAGGTCCTATAAGAGTCTCTGTATTCCCACGTAGGATCCGTCTCCTATTTCTCTGATTCAAGCTTTCCACTTGACTCTTGCCATCCTATCTGTGCTCCTCGAGGCATTATTTCCCACGTATTTTCTCGCCTCGCTGAGCAGGCCAAAAATGTCTGGATTTTCAAGCTGGATGGGATAACTTAGTCTATTGTGTGCCAGCCTACAAATACTTTGGTACTATTTGTTTTGATCATGCTCACTTTAGACATTTCCTCTTGAATAACAATTTTTATTTTCTGGTCTCTTCGCGATTTCGTTTACTAAAATTAAAGAATTTACCTCGATCCAATCGCCTTCTTTTTGCTGATCTTACTGTTTCCCGATCTTCTCCGAGTTTGTTTAGGCAATATGCAAAGTGTTCGCTAATCCTGCCTTTTTCAAGTCTCCTGTACATTAAGTTTCTTTCGGTCAGTATATCGATGGCATCTGAGATCTTGTGGTTTCTCGTATTTTCAGCATATGTTGCCAGCATTTCTGTCGATTTCCAGTGGATTTCGTGTTCCCTTATCTCGGATCTTTGCGTATCCACGGTTTTACAGGGTCTTTGATGTTCCTTGATTCATAGACCTATTTTTCTTTCTGTTTCACCAATATCCTTCTGGTCACAGTTGCCGCATTTAATGTGATAAAGTCTGG